TTATAATGCACTGTTTATAACCATATAATCCACATATAACTAGTCCATAACCTGCTGAATTTGTGTAATACATTTACCTTGCTTTGTATTTGGATTAGTCAATTCAAAATGGCTCATTATGCCTCAGAAATGAATAAATTTTGTCTTTTTATGAAGGTCTAACAAGAGTTTTATAACGTTTAAATATGTTTTGAGCATGCTAATTTAACCTTAAGAAAAAACTGAAAATTTTCAATAGTAAATGTAAAAAACTAGTATTTTACTTCCAAAAAGATATTTTAAATTTCTTTAAGGGCTATATCAAATTGCAAAAGGCAAAAAAAAAATGTTTCAGGTAATAGGCTGATGAGTAACTCTTTAAAACTATAAACATAAACAATAAGGAGTCTTTGAAAAATACATATAAAAGTATTTGTGGGGCATATTGGGCCTTTAAGGAATCTAAATTTCAAAGCACAAAAATAGCACTTCCAGCAATATAGAGCCTGGTCAGACTGCATGGATATACAGGCTGGCCTGGCTCTATACTGGTGACAAGGTTTATGATATTCATTTCCTGCAGGTAAAGGACTAATACCCACAAAGCAGTTCTTTCTTTGGCATAAAGTCTCACTGCTATGTTATGAAAGAAGAGGTAGTTATCATATTTTTGGTCACTGTAGAAAAAAAAATTGAAACACATGTAACAATAGATTGGCCGATATTTCAGAAATACAATAATATTCTCTAAAAATTTTGTGAAGCTAAATTTGAGTGACAGACCTGCCCTAATTTTACATTGAATGAGAAACAACATACTCATTATCAAAAAAAGAGTGTTCTAAGTAAAAACTGGTGCCTACAGGGGTTATAAAACTTTCTCAAATCTCATGATTTCATTGGTCAGTGTACATTCTGAGCTGGTCTCTGACCAATCAAATACTGGAGTTCCCCAATTTGAGCTCAGATGTTTCTGGATAACCTGGCACCCGTAGTTTTATCAATACATGTATTAAGCTTTTTTCGATTAGAAAACCTTCACTGATAATAAATTAATGAAATATTTTTTATCAAATGTAAAACAGTTGTCACAAATATTAAACAATATGATTGGTAAAGACTGAAATTTTGTGAAAAGATATAAAAAAGTTATGGCTGAAACTAGCCAATCTATATGGTACATGGAATAATTTCTTACATAGATAATAGTTTATCATTATAAAGATGGAATGTACATATATTTAGGATATGTTAATACTTTTAACACTGTATACACCATACAGCAAACATTTATATACAATAATATATACATATGTACAAAATAATTCATAAAAACTTTCAATTAATCATTTTAAGCCGTAGAGTTCATATAAATAAACACTTAAATGTACCTGAAGAAATAAGTCGGCACAAAAACATACCTAAATATATAGGTAAACACAAAATATACCTAAAAATACAGGTAAACACAAAACGTACCTAAATATATAGGTAAGCCCTAACACATAACTAAATAAATGTGTCTCATTTTATCTTAAAGCCACAAATAGCACAAAAACTAGACCTATCACTGAAGGTGATTAATACCCCAACCAGCAACTTTTTGAAAAATAAGTAGTCTGAAGAAAAATTTCAACACAAACTATCAACTGTGTACAAAGAAATATTTCAATTAATTGTAATCCCAACTGGGGTCTCCAAATAAGCTTGCTTTTCACAAAGTTTGATTACAATATCTCATTCCTAACTCTAGTTATTGTCCGGAAACCATTTTTCTATTTTTAGGAATGGTGACCTTGACCTTAACCCCAGGGGTCCAAATGCAATACCAACCCAGGTCTTCATATAAGCTTGCTATACACCAAGTTTGATAACAATATCTCATTCCTAACTCAAGTTATTGTCCGGAAACCATTTTTCTATTTTTAGTAACGGTGACCTTGACCCCAGGGGGTCCAAAAACAATACCAACCCAGGTCTTCATATAAGCTTGCTATACACCAAGTTTGATTACAATATCTCATTCCTAACTCAAGTTATTGTCCGGAAACCATTTTTCTATTTTTAGTAACGGTGACCTTGACCCCAGGGGGTCCAAATGCAATACCAACCCAGGTCTTCATATAAGCTTGCTATACACCAAGTTTGAATAACAATATCTCATTTTCTAACTCTAGTTCTTGTCTGGAAACCATTATTCTATTTTTAGTAACGGTGACCTTGACCTTGACCCCAGGGGGGTCAAATACAATACCAACCCAGGTCTTCATATAAGCTTTGCTATACACCAAGTTTGATTACAATATCTCATCCTAACTCAAGTTATTGTCCGGAAACCATTTTTTTCTATTTTTAGTAACGGTGACCTTGACCCCAGGGGGCCTAAATGCAATACCAACCCAGGTCTTCATTTTAGCTTGCTATACGCAAAGTTTGATAACAATATCTCATTCCTAACTCTAGTTATTGTCCGGAAACCATTTTTTTCTATTTTTAGTAACGGTGACCTTGACTTGAGACCCCAGGGGGTCCAAATGCAATACCAAACAGGAGTTTCCACATAAGGTTGCTATATACCAAGTTTGATTACAATACCTCATTCCAAAACTCTAGTTATCGTCCGGAAACCATGATGTGGACCGACCGACGGACCGACCGACCGACAAGCTGACTCCTATATACCCCCCTAAACTTCGTTTGTGGGGGTATATACTCATTCCTAACTCAAGTTATTGTCCGGAAACCATTTTTCTATTTTTAGTAACGGTGACCTTGACCTTGACCCCAGGGGGCCTAAATGCAATACCAACCCAGGTCTTTATATAAGCTTGCTATACGCAAAGTTTGATAACAATATCTCATTCCTAACTCTAGTTATTGTCCGGAAACCATTTTTCTATTTTTAGTAACGGTGACCTTGACCTTGACCCCAGGGGGTCCAAATGCAATACTAACCGGAGTTTCTACATAAGGTTGCTATATACCAAGTTTGATTACAATACCTCATTCCAAACTCTAGTTATCGTCCGGAAACCATGATGTGGACCGACCGACGGACCGACCGACCAACAAGCTGACTCCTATATACCCCCCCTAAACTTCGTTTGTGGGGGTATTATAAAATATCTTATATAAATCATCATAAATTCAAAAGTCAGGGTTCCCACTATTATTTAGGAGTGAAATTCCAGGCTTTTTCCAGGTTTTTTCAAGGATTTTTTTTTAAATTCCAGGTTTTTCAATTTGAGAATTCCAGGTTTTTTCCAGACTTCCCACCAGCCCGTAAAGGGTGAAAACATAATATGTCCAGTTTTTCAAACGGGCAAATAAAAATATTGTTCATTTTACTTGCACAAATGACAAATCTTTATTGGCCTATAAGAGTTTTGTCATTTTAATGAAAACAGTATACTATATATATATACAAACATTGGCATAAAACTATTAAACATAGGTCAGTCATAACAAAACTTTAATTGTAAATGAGAAACGAGGCAATTGTATTAAATTTTCAGCAAAGTATTTACATATGTTTTTTAGCCAGCACCACAAGAAAACCAGCAAATTGCTTGTGTGACATAGCATGGATCCAGACAAGCTTGGCTATCCATGCAGTCAGATCAGGATCCATGAAGTTTGCTTTCAGATGTTAAAAATGTTACACACGCTTTAGGCAGACAGTATGGATCCTTATGTGACTGTGAAGATGTGAAGGACTCATCTGGATCCATGCTTTGTCACAAAACACACTTTGCTGGTTTTTCTCATGGGGTGGCTGCCATTATAATAAATTTACATCTAAGATGTCATTTTTGATGCCAGTCAGATCCAATGTATAAGGTGTAATTTGTTTTGTTGATTTTTTTTCCTATTTCTATTTCTGTCTTCGGCAACTTGCGCACTAGCGCAGACGACATATTTGCTGAATCAACTGGACGACTGTGCAGTAAATTTAAGTGCCTCCGGAAACACGGACGTTTTATTATTTTTTCGTTCGTTTTCATTGTTAATTTCTAGCGAGGTTTCAAAAAAGCCATTACGGCATTTGCCGTATAAAAAGCTGAATTTGATTGTAAAATGTTTCAAAATATACCAAGATAGCTTGTTTAAAACCATCCTCGGTGGAAGAAAACATCAATAATCCAAACTAGGAAATGGACGTTGCTTCGCCGCGGCAGCCATATTGTTCAATATCGATTACTTCCCTTAGTGGTACGGACTAAAAATCCCGGACTATTCCCGGACTTTTTACCGGACGGAGCAAATTCCCGGCGTTTTCACGACCGGGAGTCGCGATTTTGAAAATCACGGACTTTTCCCGTTTTCCCGGTAGCGTGGGAACCCTGAAAAGTACAATCATTTATATAACTTTGGCTGCCCTGTTTGTTAATACAAATAACTTTTGGCTTTCTAAAATGCAGAATGAAAAAAAAACAGGATTCCATTCCTATATTAAAGCAGCAGGTCTCCAGATGGTAATATGAAATAGAATTTCTATTTAACTGCAAATACTGGTTTAGTTACTTTTAATGTGAAAATCTGTTATAGCTGACCTATTAATTAAATTTTCTTTTTACAGAATTATCAGCAAAGGATCCTGGATTCTGCCTAGTAAGTATCTTGGATCCCAGAAGTTTCCCCAATAGTTACATTGTACTCTTCATAACCAAAATGAGAAAATTCCTAGAATATTCAAACAAGGTAAATTTCACAAAAGCCGACTGTCCTGTTTTCATAGAATATATATTGAAGCAATGGTAGAGTCTGTTGTCTTCGGGGAACCTGCTGCTTTAAATATGCACTTTTGTAAAAAACAAAACAAAAAAAATTCAAGTTTATATGCCATTTTTTCTTTTTTAAACAATCAAAAGGATTTCATTAATTTCTATATTATAAATGAATACTGTTTTTGCTAGTTAAGTAGAATAAGCCACTTCTATAACTGAACAAAACAGTTACAGTACAGTAAGGCAAACACATATGTATTATGTCAACATCATATTCCACAAAAAAATAAAACAATTTACACTCTATCTTGTTAACAAAATTTATGCATTAGTGACTAAGAACACACAACCTTGACACAAGTAGGTAAACATTTTAAACATATCACAGATATTTAAATCCACATCATTCATTTAAAAATGTTAATGAAAGTATCTTTTCTTTCTTACACAATTTTTGATATTTTCAACACATTGTCCCTGCATAAAATAAGTAATTTCATTACTTTTTCTGCATATATTGTGTAAAGAGTGGATGAAGAAGTAGTTCCTTTGCAGCCGGTCGCTGTTCTTTAACAGGTTCGAGGCAGCGTAGTAATAAATCTCGCAACGGTGGTGACAATTTCTCGGGAATGGGTGGGGTTGACTGAGCATTAGCTATCTATAACACAAAAATTTATACATTGTAGTAATAACAATTTATTTATTGATATTGGCCACCGGCTCATTAAAACAATATATATATTATGATATATATCTTGACTGGTACCAGTAGTAAGATACATGTACCAATGTAAATTCCTAAACCTTAAAAAAAAACTTTTATACTTAATATACAAATGAGATAAACAAACTGATTAATAAATTTTTTCTCTCTTGCATTTGTATTTTATTCTAAGTTTGTCAACATTTTCCTAAAATTTGGCAAGAAACTGAAAGCAAGAGGCACGCTGGTTTAAAACAGTAAAATACCTTGAAGATAAGAGCTAAATGTTTTGGATATCAGACTTTTTCCAAAGGGGCTTTGTCGTCCCATCTCTTAAACCAGCATCTACACTCCAACATCACATGCCACCCTATTCCTCCCCTTTTTTACCTATATTTTAAACAACTATTTTTATTTTATAAAGAGTTTTAAAAAAACAGGGGCAGTGTCCAAGATTAAAATACTGTCGAAAACTTTTCCAAAAATTCCTACCCCAACATGCTCATTGCAGGAAAGCACATACAAAATGGTTTAAGTCTTTCCCCATACCAGGGGTTTTTCCCGTCGGACTAACGAAAAAGTCGCCCTGAAAAACCCGCTTTTTAAAAAAATTTAAATTGTTTAACTTTTTAAATGGTTGGTTGGGAATTTCTAGGGCCCTTTCTAGTTGAGAAAGACCTAAATGCATTTCTATGTATATTTTTACACTTGTGGAAACCCGAGTGAAAAACCAACCTACTGTTTACTAGCAGGATAGTTTCCTACACACACAAAAAATCTTAAGTCCCTGGCAATTCAAACCCAGAGCAATGAGGGTTGACTCAAAGTACACAGCTCTTACCACTTAGCAACACAGACCTTTAAGTATTTATTATAAAATGAATAACATAATGGCTATCATGCTTTGAAAACATGAATTTAAAATCGTGAGAATAGTATGCATATAAATAATCACTTATATAAGTAAAATTGACATATATTCTACGAAAATGTGTTTCTGCCATCACTGGTTAAAGGGTTTGAGACAGAAGAGATTTGTTCAATATTGGTAAACAGGTATATCAGCTGCTATGACTCAACGAGATCAATAATTACAACATGAAGATATCACTTATATAACATTTGATAATATATAATGTCAGTGACTAAATGGTTAAATAACCATATAAACTCAATTCATACACAATTTATCTAACTTGTAAAATAGTTTAAATGAAAATTTCTTTCTTTTTTGGTAGTGTTCAATGTCACAAAGGCAAACAGACAATGTAAAATGTCATATGGTAACTTTCCAGCTTAACTGGTGCAGGAAGACCAGTATCAACTAATGCACATAGAGAAAATCATTGCATATCCATCCCTTACAATAAATGTGACATTTTAGAATCAAATAATAGATCCCTTCAAGGATTTGTTTTCAGCTTAGATCTTCAAACAAATTATTTCTACTTTAATGAATCATTTTCATGTCAACTTCTTAAAAATTAAGCTAAACAATGCTTCTGTCATTCATATGACAACCTTAGAAGAGCTAGAGGATAAAATCAAAGAGTTAAAAAAAAGGAAGACACTTTCACTAATCTGACCCCCCCCCTCCCTAAAACCCCCCCCGTTTAACCCAAAAATTAATTGAGCCAAGTTAAAAACTTTTCTTATAACAAACCCCTGGGCCATGAAAGCAATGGCCCTAATATTGTCCCTAAATTTCCCCGCCCCCTTATCTAATGCTAGCTACTGCAGCACCAAAATCTCCGATCCTTAACCTCGACCCTACTGTCAATGATGATTCGACCTTTTTAAATACAAAATGACACTTTTTAAATACTTCCACTGCCCCAAAAATTTAGGAATGCAACCAATAAAAAAAGCCATTCAATGATTTATATCTTATTTAAAACTTTACAACTCCTTTTTGTATCATGGGGATTTTTTAGCATTGGGGGCATGACCTGACCCCCGAGCATTTTGGAATTTTACATTTAGAATAAAATTGGGGAAAAAAATTACACATTGTAAACTCAAATTTTTCAAAGTTATCAAATATTAAATCTTTACTATTTCATTTAAACACAATTTAAAACTGGGAAGAATATTAAAATTTCTTTAACCCCCGTACAAAAATTAACAAAATGACAATAATTTTACTTATTTACTTTTTTTGTTCCTTGAATTGGGAAAAAACATACTTTTGGCATTAGAAACATGAATCAATATCGGTCATCAAAAACTGTTAAGAAAAACCCTGGTAAATGATGGTAACTATGTATAAACATACAAACCAACTATAGAAGCTGATTTAACTGGGGAAAATAATCATGTAAAACAAATGTAAAACAACTGTTATACCTTTGAGATCCCTATGTAAAGTATGATTTTCATGTAAGTAAGCCAAGCCCCTCAACAGCTGGAGAACGTAACTTGTTGTCACTTCCTCTGAAAACATCCCATACTGTCCCAGTAAAAATGACACCGACCCTCCTGTTAAAATACAAAATAAGTTAATCAACACAGACAATAGATGTTATCCATGTGGGCTTTTCCAAGCTTATCCCCTGGTACAAACAAACTTTTACTGTTATAGCTTCACGGTGCATGACCAGGGGGCCACAATAGATTAGTCAACCTGTTGTCATGTTTTCGAAGCTGTAACTGTAAACGTTGTTAGTGGGAAAAACCCAAAATATTCTTAATTCAGAATTTTGTCTATTAGTATGAAATATCTGTAACATTCACTCAATACTGTATGCTAATTACATGCTGAGAAATAAAAATATTTCAAAATTGGAGTGAATACAAATCAAAATTTCTGGCATGCATTTTTAATATTCTGTTACAGATGAACCTTGAAACTCATTCTTCAGTATATGAACAAGTTTATAAATTTTGTTGGGTTTATAGTATATCGAAACATCTCAGTTTAGGTCGTATGGCAACTTCCAAGCTCTACTGATGGAAGACCTCAGGTGCCCTTCCATGCTTCCGAGTAGAACCACCAACATTCTGTAAAATAGCTGGATAGCTTCCTTACATGAAAGAATCCAAAGTTCCTGTTGCAATTTGAACCCACAGCAGTGAGGGGCAAGTGGTTTCAAGTCAATGACCTTAACCACTCTGCCAAGGACAGTTATAAAAGTGCAGACTAAGATAGGATGGCATGGATACGAGCCCAGTGGTCTTTAGCAAAGTGTTTATTAGCTTGAAAGCTGCTGGTTGTGAGTTCAAATACTGCTCAGAGCATTGTATTTACTATTTTATTGTACCGCTATGTTACAAACTGAGAATGTTTTGGAAAAAAAAAACCCATGTAAAGCACTATTACTTACCTGGCATCCACTCGACAAACATGTTAAAGTGACAGCCCTGCCGTGTAGCACCTAGTATTCGGACAATGTGTGGATGATTCAGCTTGGCCATCATGTGGATTTCTTCTGTAATAGCTTCTATCACATTGTCCTGCTCGGTCTTTGAGTTACGACAAAAAGATATCTAAAACAATGTAAAAAATAACAACATATAAGAATTACCTCCAAGGACCAACTTCCACAACCTTCTGATTTACAAACTTAACATGTTGCGTTGTTTGTTGTCTTATATTATATATAAAAGCTTTTCACAAAGCAATTATTACCTCCACTGGCTGTCATTTTGAGGGTCATTCCCAGCATAATATATGCTTATAAAGCTAAAATCTCTTATAATTCGAACATCTATCATATTCATGAAAACTGATAAAAATATTTTACATTTTGGTGCGATTATAATATTTTCCTCCATATGTATAAAATTATTTGATAACTCACCAAAAACTGCTGCTAATATTGATTTCTTCATATTTTGTCAATATTGACAACCCAAAATGGCTGCCACTTTTTGCAAGGGAGGTATATATTGTAGAAATCGGGAACTATCCTATAACTTTAAATTTGAATTTCAGCCATCAATATATTGCATATGAATGAAGATACTATACCTGTTTTAGAGCCATTATTGTACCCGTTTTAATGTCTCTAGCCTGGTAGCACGTACTGAAAGCTCCAGTACCTAGCAACGATCCCTTCACCCAATGTACATTCTCATAATATAGCTGAGGCTGATTACCATTTGTATCTTCTTCATTGCATTTCTGAAAGATAATCACAAAATAAGAATATTCAATAATTTTTAACGTAAATTGTTTTCCACATCAAACATACGAAAATAGCAATGAAATCCCTATACGCTTCATGAAACTGGCTTCAACACAGGCAGAATAATTAATAAAGCATAATAATAAGCATAATAGTTAAAACAATAATGTATAGGTTAAAACAATAACGTATAGGTACATACATCAGGCTGTATACGTATAGTTATAACTTCCTCCTGATCCATCGGTGTCAAACCGGGCACTATAGGCTTCGGTGGATCCCTAGCTGATATCTCCATGGCCTTAGCCAGTGCTAGAGCCTCCTCTTTCTCCATTTCTTCTTTACAATGACAATCATCGTCATCTTAAATGAATGACATAAACCTTTGATTGTTAATGACTAATATTATCATCTTTGCCAAAAGTATAGGACGAGGCTAGACTGTATGTTGGTGCAGTTTTACTAGATTCTTTACTGTTGACTGCTGAATTTATAATTCTAACATCACAATCTCTGTCAATTAACAAAGTTAAGGGCAAGGCTGGTAACGGCACAAATTAAATGTAATAAGAAATGAAATACAGGTAAAAATATAGCATTGCTATCTTAATTTTAGTGGAAATATTTACTTTATGTACAATTGCATAACTTTGCATACCTTTATCCAAAGTGTGGCTTGGAGAATGTTTAGGAGTTGCCATGGCAACCTCAGTTTGAAATGTGACAGGTTTCTCTTTTCCGGTGCAAGGGGTAACAGCTGAGAAGTTAAGGGACTCGTCTGATCTGTAAGTGGCAGAAAGAGGTCTATCCGGAGTCAAAGGTTGAGGGGAGGTTGTACTTTGTCTTGTGTAAATTGTGTAAACCTGAGACTGTCCAAGTGAACCATTAGTTTCTTCACATTTTATTTTCTTACTATCCTTCATAGGTGAGCTTTTGTTTGATTCTTGTACTTTAGCTCCAGCCCTCATAATCTTTCCTTGGGACAGTGAATCAAGAGGTAGTGACTCGGAAACATTTGACATTGTTGACAGACGTTCAAGTTCGAGGACATGTGCACATGGAGATATAGATCTCTTTGACTTTGGCCGACTTTTTTCTTCTTTCAGATCTAATGGCAAGAAATTTGGAATTTTTGCCGATTTTGCTGCAGGAGTTTCAAACACTAACTTCTTTGTGAGATCAACAGAACAACTTCGATTTTTATGATCTTTCAAATCAAAAACATTGTCACAGGAATTCCACTTTTGTTTCAATAGAGTGTCCAAATCAGGCTCCTCAGAATCAATATCTGTTTCAAGATCATGTGATAGTAACCTTGAGGGAGGTGAAACTGCCAGTGCTATTGATCCTGAAGTATCGCTCACCGCAGAGTCAAGACCGAAAGACAAATTATCATCTATATCATCATCATCATCTACATGCATTGCTGTTATTTTCACATTCCTGTTCATTTTTCCAAATGAATTAATTCTTTGCCGACTTTCTTCAAGTTTTATAACCTCATCAAGATTTGTTTCTAAGACTGGTCCAATTCTTTGAGGAGTGCGCGATCGTGACCTTGACCTAGATTTCTTTTTCCTATTTCCACTTTTAAATGGGGACTTTGCTGATCTGCTACGTGGGCGACAGTCATCACTATTCAGATTGTCTAAACTCTTAGAAAGTTTCTGCATCTTCACTTCCTCTAAGTTTTCGTCATGTTCTTCAACAAGGTCAAAACTTGATGGACGACCTTCATCTTTCATGTGTTGTCTGCGATCTCTGATAGGAGTATTAGGCGGCACTATAAGAGGTAATTTACCAGCATTACTGTCAGCCTCACTCTGAGCATCTGATATAACTGTAACAGGGGATGTACATTTCGGGGTGGACAGTGGAGTCATGTTTGGAGTGTCCTCTGGAGAATCGTCAGGATTCAGTCTGTTTTGTATATGTAACTGTCTTCCTAAATGCTCAGACAGCTGAAAATCTGCCACTATCTTCTCTAGCTGTTTTTTTAGTGACTTTTTATGAGAAAAGTCAAGTTCATCAACTAACTTAGTCAACTCAGTCATGAGATTTTCTAAATGTGCAGCATATCTGGCTGCTAGTAAAAACACTCTTTTAGCAACTCGGCTTATTCTCGCATGAGGATTTGACACTGCCTTTATTGAAAACTGGGCGACTAAAAGTAACCTATCGTAATTCTCGGGCCGCTCTTCTTCATCGTCTTTGGACATCGCTCCAACAAGCTCGAGAGAGCTTTCCGAACTAGCTCCATCGGGTCTCTGTCGAGGTAGAAATTCTGTCGGAAAATCTATGACCAGTCTTTCAACAATATATAATCGCCCTAGTAACCACTGCCATGATATCTCGGAGGTTTCATAGTTCTCTGTCAAGCAGTCAACTAAGAAAGACATACCACCCAGACCAAACCGTCCTATAATATACATAGAAATATCTTACCATGATAACTCATGATTTAATCAAAGAAATTCTTACAGATATTTGACAATATTTTGAACGATAGTTAAGACAAAAAATTTGAATATTTAGGTCTATATAAACAAAATTTACTCTATGGTACTACAATAACGATGATAAACTTTATTCAAAGTGATAAAACTAATACATACCAGGATTTGCCAATTCTTTTCCAAGGGCCAGCTCTCCATGCTGACCTTTGGCCAACTCGATCATAGTTGATATTGACAATTCACCAGTCCTCCTGCAGATAAATAAATAATTTTGTACTTTATTTTGGCCAGGTTTCAGTAACAATGACATAGATAGGTAGGGTCCTTTTCAGTTTTACACCTGGTGGAAGAACTCAGGTGACTCTCTGTGCATCATGCCAGACACAAGTGGGCACCTGAGTAGAACTACCGACTATTTGTAAGCCAGCTGGTAAGCTTTCTTGCATGAAAGAATTCAAAAGTTCCTGACAGTGTTCAAACCAATACACATGAGTTTTTAAAAATCCATTAAATAGTATAACAAAGTAGTGAACTTTATATACATTAAATTCTTCATATTCCTATACTGAATGCACAATGTGTGTGTGTGTATTTTTGTGTGTTTTCTTTCATTATATAATGCTAAAGTAATAGAATTTCAAAATCAACTGTTGTTAGTCACAATTTTCTACCTGCTGGCTTCCAAAATGATTAGCCTTTGCTGTAAGTACAGAGTCAGCTAAGCCTGCACATTCCTGTAGTCTGAAAAGGCTCTATACTGTTGGTAGATATTTTTTTTTTTTATTTTGCCATTGAAATCACTAAAATTTAAATGGACAACCCATTATTAAAAACAAATTCAGCAAGTTAAGGATTAATGTATCATTTTTCTTACCTGTTGCCATCTGTACATTTGACAATAATTGAATCAACAACGGGTTTGAGCAAAATTTGTAGTTTGTTACGTTGTTGACAATCTCTGGATGGTATTACACTGAACACACTCCGTAACACTTTCTATAAACATTAAAAATATACATTATATTTACACTCATTTACTCTATTTAATCATTTGAGCCGTGTCACGACAAAACCAACGTAATGCGTTTGCGACCAGCATGGATCCAGACCAGCCTGCGCATCCGCGCAGTCTGATCAGGATCTATGCTGTTCGCTATCAGTTTCTCTACTTGTAATAGGGTTGGTAAGCAAACAGCATGGATCCTGATCAGACTGCGCGGATGCGCAGGCTGGTCTGGATCCATGCTGGTCGCAAACCCATTATGTTGGTTTTGTCATGACGCGGCTCATTTATTCTTGTTTGGATTTGGACTATAGTAATTGACCATTGTCATAATTATGGCAACTATGCTGTTTTCCATTATGAAAAAGTTCAGCAAACCAGGCAGCTAGTACTTCACCTACAGTGGGGAGTGGGTTTGAATGTCATACAAATATCAATGTGAGGAACCAAGCGGTAAACGAAAACTTGATGATTTACTTTTCGAAGTAAATAATTTTTATATTTATCATGTAAACTTAATAAAGGATAGTAATTACCCGTACATTTTCAAAATGCTGTTAACATAAAAAAGAAAATTTCTAATTTTCATTGCTACTTGTAAGTATTTTGTAAATACATTATCTGGTTTTCTATATCAAAAACCTGACATGAATATACATGTATGTCCTATGACAATAAAGGTTGATTTTAACACATCAATTAATTTTTCTCTGAACAGAGTGCTAAATTTGAGTGACAACTTACAAGGCATCCGACAAACACTCTGTAAACTGGGTCGTTACACATAAAACTGACCACGCTGTAACAGCATTTCAACAGCTTCATCAGCATCTCTTCATTTGCCAATGACATTCCCAATTTACTGTCGACAGCGACCTGCGCTAGCTCTCGGGACATTTCCTTCCCAAGATGCTTCAATCCTGTCTCCCTTATAGACCAGTTACGTGAAAACAGGCAAGACACAAGGTCCTCTCCCAGTATCTGAAAACATACATATTACATCATATCTATAAATAGTAACCTTAATCATGCTTAACTATGTCATTGGCTTGAAATGGCAACCCTAATTAACTGTTAGCTGAAATATTATATCTACTTATGTTATTTATATGTACTTTATATTAACTTTTTGACTAGCTTAAAACCATTCTGTCAAGGACAGGCATTTTATGATTAATAACATGTACGTATATAATTGTGCAAGTATTTTCAAGCCATACATAGTTTCAAAATCATACACGGCCCCCTTAAGATCTTACATGTACACTATATTTGGTTAAAAGAAGCCATTTAGAGGTTTTACTATTAACAAACTTCAGCTCGTAGAACACCAGCATATAACACAACAAAATTGTTGTAAATCAACACAGTATTTTAGGAGCGGATGATGATTGAACACCCGGCCTATACTAATATACTTGTAGCTGACTGACTTGCAAGCCATTCTTTTCAAATACATGTAAGAAAGAATTTGTCTCAAAACCAACCTCAATCCAAGGTGTTGCCATGTTGATATATTCCCCAGGAATAGGTTCCGCATACGGAAGGCGAGTCATCTCAATTTCATGTTGTGGGGACGGCACACGAGTGTTGGGAGGAGCCTCCGGAGGTTCTGTTGCATTTGTCTCATCTCTGAAAATATTGCTTTTACATTACATTTAAGTGTATATACAGGATATTTTAATACTGAATTTATTGAAAAAGTTGAATAAAATAATATTATGCCAGCCTTTGTCAAGCGTAATATTATTTTATTGAACGAGTTCAATAAATTGAGTCTTAAACTTCCAGTCATTTAATATTCTATTTATCACATACCAAAAAGTAAAAAAGAACCATTTTTCATTGACGTGCCTATAATATAACGCAAACATTTAGCGCATCTTGGCACTATGTTTATATAACGAAAATGATGTCACATCAAAATATATGGACGGCCGTACAATACCATTTTTACGGAGACGTAAAAGCGGCACAGTTATGTGATAAAAAATCTTTTATCAGGCTATCTAGGATTATTTAAGCGTTTCATATTTATGAAAACCTTCTTATGTACCTGATCGATACAATAATGTTTATGAATTTATGATAGTGTGGGGCATGTATAAAACCATAAATAAACCTACAAAATATTAGCAGCTAAATTGTTTTTGTCAAGAACATTTTCAGTCTGTTTTCATGTATACATCCATATTTGTTTCATAACAGATACACTTTTTGCTTAAACTTTCTTCTCTGATCATATGGATAAAGAAAACGTGATTATAAAGTTTTTGAAATGTTCAAATACAATACAAAGTTATTGGGGAAGCTGTGTCCAAAACAGGGTTTAAATGGAGATTTATCAAATAGCCTTCCAAATCACCTGTTTTTTATAAAATATTGTTGTTTTCCTTTATTTACAATATATGAAGAGTGTAAAGTTATGTTTACATTCCTTTCAACATATTTAATATTATTATGTTGATACAAAATGATTAAGAGCCATTTAACAATCTACATGTATAGAAAGCACCTGTGAAGAAATAAAGCCATATGTGCTTATTAACAGAATTGTGCTTTTTTTTTAAAACACGTAAATATATTTACCCTTTAACTTCCACAACAGAGTTTTTCCATCTTGTCCTGCAAAGGGGGCAAATCAGAGCTTCATTCTGCCGCTTGCATTCATCAAACCCTGAAATAAGCATATTGTTTTGCCATCACAACCACGATTTTACATAACAAACAAACTTGCCTTGCTTGGAACTACATGTATTTGTTGTAAAATGGGACTTCACTGATGTGGGGTTTTTTGTGTTTTTTTTTTTTACCTGACATGATACAAAATGTTCATTTGAAGATTTTAATTTTATACCATTTGATGTATTACCCATAACTTGTGTGCAAAAATCATTCTCATTTCCAGAAGAAGAATCTTTACTGTGCAAATGAAAAAAACAACAACATTGAAATGCTTTTTAACTAAAATTGGGCTAAGAATCCCACAAAATAGTGATTTTTTTTTATTGAATTCTGATTTTATTATACTTTTCATGTTTTTCTGTTTAAATTGCCCCAGTTGGTCTATGTAAGATTTTGAATTTTTTATGTTTTTGTGCTCCACAGAGATCTTTTTTAAATGAAGGGACTGATAATATTTTTTTGAGACTTGTGTACAATTTAATGTAGGTCTGGACTAATACATTGTGTGCAAAATTTCAGATCATTCCCTCTCTCCATTTTACAGAGTTATCATTTTTTGTGTGTGCAAAATACGCTTTTCACAACAACGAGGCTCAAAATTCATCCACAAAACCGATTTTCAATCTATAATTTTCTTTATTACCTTTTGCAGATATTTCCATTCTAAGAGTATCACTAAGTCTTCATCTATGAAAACATTTCAAATTTCATATTTAGGTTTCTTGACCTCAGTGGAGTTCCTTTAAAGGTGATCCTTAAAAGGAATTTTTGGGTTGTTATATTTTATTAGGTTTTATTTTGTACAGGTCACAAGACGACTTTCTGGCTTTGGTAATACTTACAGACTGTGATACAGTGATGATGAAGTTTGTTTTGGCAGCCATCACATTTTAGGAGACTTTCTCCCTCCAGCATTTCCAGCAAGCATATAGGACATGTATCATCTTCTTCCCTCACACTCCTGTAATACATGTATATAATTAGATTATACGTCCATTATAATTATGAACACGTAAATACAATGAGCAAATTTTAACATCAAATTTTCGAACATAGTTTTAACCCTTCAAATGCTAGTGGAAGCATGGGTAAGTGGTAAATATGTCAGACTAGTAATCTAAGATCGCTATCTGTGTTGGTTCAAACCCTGTCAGTGGCAAGCCATTGTTTTCTTGAGCAAGAAACTTTACACTCATTGCTCAGTACTGTTTGGTTTCAGGAACAGATACGAGAAGTGTGTCTATAAGCTTTAAGTATCCTACACAAACTAAAATAAATTTTGTATAAATCAAATGCTAGTGGGTACATGACTTTAATAACTTGCAAAAAGTCTGTGCAGCAAAACAAGACCCTATTTTTGTTAACATTTAAATTTTTATACCCAGGCCCTTAACTGCTTATGGATTGTTGCAAAATCAAAAAGAGGAAATGTCAATCTCATAAATAGAGTATGGCAAGGTTTAAAGTACTTCACACAATTCCGTAAAAGAAATCAATAAAAGACCATCTTATGTAATCTTTGACATTCAAGTTTTAACAAGTATTAGATTTCTTAGCAAAACAAAAACAACAAGAACTCCACATGGCAGAGTTTTATATGCCTAAAGTATGGGCTGTAGAATTATGTGAAGTGTTAAAAGTGAAAGAATCCAATTGAAAAATCAACCAAAAAGTTATTAATGGGACAAGAATTTGACACAAAAGTCATTGTGACCTAGACCTTTGACCTAATAATCCAAAATCAATAGGGGTCAATCATCTTACCATGGGCAATGTTTCTACTGAGAAAATTATGAAGCCATAAATAAGTACACACAAAAGATATATCTAATTTTTCTGTTAAGGTGAACTACATAAATTTTCAAAGTGCTGAGAAGTATGTATCTTGCCAAGATCATGTATCTATATTGATAGTAAGTGTGTAAATTATGAAACTGGATAGATAGACAGTTCAATTACTATATGCCCAGGGACATAATTATCCCTTAATATTCTTAAATAACTTTTAAGATTTTTGAAGATGTTCAATTATTATACATGTATATAATTGGTGTTGCAAAACTCCTATACCCAAAGGAAAAATATCATAAAAAAAGTTTCAACTTTATTTATGCAGTATCATTCTATGTCTTAACAGACGGTTGTCTAAGTGACCATTTTTGGCATTTCCCTAATATAAGTTTGACTGCAAACATTAAATTATTTTAAGTACAAGACACAATCAGACAATACAACAAATGTCATTTGAAATGGACATAAAACCAGGATTCTAGTTCTCAAGTAAAAGAAGAAAATATACATGTTATGATGCGTGTTAAAAAAAACAACAAAAAAACAACAAAAATCTTACAGTGTGTATTTCCAATATTTTTCATCCATAGCTTTCGATATTATTGCACCAAATATAAACTTCAAGAACTTCATAATGCAGTATGCTGTGACTACTGAGTTATTATACCATTCCCATGCAATATTTATAGTCAATATCTGTAATATCCATGATGACTCAAGCGCCAATCTTATTGACGTACATTTATCGAAGGTCTTATTTCTATTAACAACATTCTCAATGCAAAACATATCGCTTAAGATAAAAGAATTGCTTTGAAATTTGGTTTGAAAACCAGGACTGTTTATCCAACTAACCAGATCTGTACTTTCCATTTCAATATATTATACTTCATTTATCTTTTGCTAGATAAATTCAGCTAGATTTCGGTAAGTCCTTGATTAACTATTTCCAAACTAGTACAAAATTAAATTTTAACATCGGGCAGTAAGGTTTTCTTTTGGAAGCTGTGCTGTGTGCATTTGTTGTGGTTGGTTAGTGATTGGTAAGATTTTGCATGCAATATTTAAATTGTATTCAATGACCATGAGTGAAATGCCATTCTGCAGTTTCAACAATTGTGATCCAGAAGACACTTTTTAACCTTCAGTAAAATCTTAATAACATCTTATGTTAACGTGAGAAACATAGCCCCACTAAACTTTGGGATATTCAAGCTTATTATCATGTATAAGTTAATAAGACAGATAATTTACCAAGCAACATTTTCTGAAGTTGCGATCTTATAATCAGGGGAAGGAACTCTGGATAGAAAAGGAACTGTGACGTAATTTTGTAATAAGGAAGATTATTTACCCGGCATCACTTTCTGAAGGTGCGATTTTATCATCAGGGGAAGGAACTCTGGATGCATTAGGCGAAGGTTTAAAACTGCGGCGTAATTTTGTTGTCTCTATCTTCAGAGTTCGTTTATCATTATACGCCCGAAATAAACTCTCAACCTGCAAACAAAATAACAGACTAAATAAGTTTACAAAATATTTATAAATATATATTTGATGATGCAATTCTTATTTTTCAAAAACACATCCAACTTGTGGTTGTTTATCCCCCAAATATATCATCAGTGCAAATAAATCTTTGTTAATATTTATTTATTATCTATTTTTCCATGACAACCAACAGACCACCACTATAAAGATGTTGGTTGATAATTGTTTTATTCACTAACTATATCAATGTTAATGCCAAACAAAACCACCACAAAATAAAATCAATACACAAGATCTTGCTCCACTGAGCATTTAAAGGAGTGCTCCAACAAAGTAAGGTAATACGATAAGTAAATTTTGTATATATAAATAAAATTGAAAATAACTATGCTCTACAGTTGCAGACACTTCAGCTAACAGGTTTTCTTATGTATTAGCATCCATTTTCAGTTGATATGATGTGGCCCCATTGTAATAGGCAGGTAAATCATCACAACCAGCATTTTGACAATTAATAAAGATTTTTTTGGTCTCACCTCATAGTTTTTTAACTGTTTACTCCACAGACATGGGTCCACCTCACTCACTTGGAATACCCTCAACATCACAAACAATACATGTACACAGTGTGGTCCCTTACCACAACTACATGTCTGTAAAGAAACAAAAGGAACATGCGTTACATTATAAAGATCTTAACATCTGTCAAAAGCTCCCTTGCTGCTTTCCTAGCAGAAAAATTACTCCATATTCGGATACATATTGTAAGCAGTTTAAGTACAACAAAATATGAACAAATAGCATAACTGTTTATTAAGAAACAAAGTCAATGTTAAAAATTTTAGGATTTTTTTAGTAGGGTAGGTGAAACATTAAACATGATTATTAAGTCACCGTTTAAACGGTAGCATTTTTTGTAACCATAACATCCCTAATGAAAATATTAACAATATTTTGTGCATACAATAGAACTCCTGAATTTATTTTTTTAATATCATAAACTTATTATTTTTGATCAATATACTGCACCTGTTGACCAATTATCACTTTGAACTTGTGTTCCGGTGAGTCACCAACAATCAGGAATGAGTTTGGTCCCATCTGTTGTAATAAATACAATCTCGCCCTTCGGACTCTTTCCACACGTTTCTTTGTGTTCGGATCATTTGGATCTAAAACCTTGTCCGATGGTGTCCGTCTTACACCACTTGTGTTCTTAAACTGAAATACCACAACAGTAACATTATTAACTGTCAGGGCTTAGCTTGTATTATTTGTTTGGTTTTTCAGCCGTTAACATGTCACAAAATGGTCATTTTTTCATTTAGTTTGTGTTGTTTTTTTCCCTTTATTTTGGAAATTCCTCCTTAAAATTGGGCATTAAACATGCTTTATTGAAGTGAAAACAAGACATCCACATTAAAATTGATATACTAAGAACCAAGTTACATAACAAGAGCTGTCTGTAGGACAGCATGCTCGACTATTCTAAGTGCTTGATAGTAAAAGAGCCTTGATATTGTTAAATTTTTTAAGTTCACAAAAGGGCTAATTTTTTTTATAAATTCATGTTATAGGCCTTACAGAGAGTCTAATTATACAGAATTGGCTTGACTATTCGGAAGGTAATGTCACAAGGTTTTTTTTATTGAGTATAATAATACTAATTACCTATGAATACATAAATTTGACAGAAAAGGTACAAAGCCTTGTTATTAAGATGTTTTATCAGGTAAATCACTGCTTTATTATTATGAATGCATAAAATTGTCCCAAAAAAGGCACAAACCCTTCAGTAGTTATTGAGATAACAGCTTACAAGCAAAACTTTACCATGAATTTCTAAGTTGAAAAAGGGGAGAAAAATCAGCCTAAATGCAAGATTGAATTATGGATCTTTGTCAGTGACCTACAATTATGACCCTAAATGCATATGTGAAGTTTTAGATAAATATCTTTAATAGTTATTGAGATATGTAAAACTTGCATGTAAACATTAACCAAGAGACTAAGTAGAAAAGGGGATATGAATCAGCCTTAATGCAAGATAGAGTTATGGAACTTGGTCAGTGACATACAATTATGACCCTCCAATTATGACCCTAAGTGCATGTGTAAAGTTTCAAGTAAATATCTTTGAAGACCGTTAACCTTTAACCAAAATTTTTAAGTTTCAAAGGGGCAAATAATTCTGCAAATATTGCAGACAGAGTTATGCAATTTTGCAAACTGATGTACATTGTTACTATAAATAAGTATTTTAAATTTCAATTGAATATCTCAAGCAATAATTGAGATATTTGACTTTACAAAAAAACTTTAACCAAAATTTCTAAGTTCCAAAGGGGGCATAATTCTGTCAATATGGTAGGCAGAGTTATCCAACTTGTCAATCTGATGTACATTGTTTCTATAAGTAAGTATTGTAAGTTTCAATTGAATATCTCAAGCAATAATTGAGATATTTGACTTTACAAAAAACTTTAACCAAAATTTCTAAGTTAAAAAGGGGCATAATTCTGTCAATATTGTAGGCAGAGTTATCAAACTTGTCAATCTGATGTACCTTGTTACTATAAATAAGTATTGTAAGTTTCAATTGAATATCTCAAGTAATAATTGAGATATTTGACTTTACAAAAAACTTTAACCAACGCAGACGCCGACGCGGACGCTGACGCCGACGCCGGGGCGACTACAATAGCTCTCATATTCTTCGAATAGTCGAGCTAAAAATCAGTACAAATTTTAAAACAATATTTTTGGAATATTTTACATATTGTTATTACTCTAGTTTTAATTGATAAATACTTAATGACCATTAAATGGTCTAGAATTTGTGACCCATTTATAGCCAATAAATATATACATTTGAAATTTTATAATTAATTATGTTACAAAATAAAAACCATCGTTCAACATACTAGCTATAGTACCATGACAATCTAATGTTTATTTATTTTTTAAACTCATTTGAAAATGTTTTTTAAAGCATTAAGTCACAACCAGTTTTTACTGAAAACAGCATGCATCTTGATAAAAAAAAAATTGTAATTTTTATTAATTTCTTATATTGTAGCCCTAGCGGCCATCCTGTTCATCTAAGAAATTTCTAATCACGTTAATGTAAACGAAAAATTTACTAACCGAATTAGCAGGTGAAATTCTCCGCCGCAGTCCGGTATTTTCATTGACAACTTGCTGCGTGAAGGCATTATCTGTTCCTCCTCGAAATGATTTCTTCCGGCCAATACCAGATGGTGACTTGTAAAAGACAAAAAAATAACATTTAATACAAGATACTATGTACTTGCTATATTCTACTTTTTAAAATGAACATTTCACTATGTCTAGGTCAGTGAATAACAAAGAAAGAAGAAACTTGGTATACCAATGGATACCATTTAATTTTGCTTTAACAAGGCTTTAAACATGGCCTCTACTTGGAGGAAAAGTAGGAAAATACATTTCCTCGTATGAATGTTAACCCGATCAAGTTAACTGAATATACCCAAGAGACCAGTGCAGACCATGTTCATTAAATCTAGGAGCTATGAAAAAGCGTTTAGTGTGACAAAAGAACAGAATGGCAAACAAGCAACTATATGCTCCATCAAAAAAATTCTCGGGAGCATTAAAATCATAATTACACACATATATGATACTATGAGGTTATTTTACATTGTTGAGTACAATACTGGATTCTATTGGACAAATACATAGCTGTCAAACCTATTTTGTACGAGGCACTAGCAGAGTATGATCAGGTTTTGCAGCTACGTACAAGTCATTTGAAAAAGTTTTGTTCTCAACAAGGTATAATGTCCTCTTTATTTCTCACCACCAGTTTTTGACAATATTTGGACGAGGCTATCATGAGCATGATATGCCTTTGATATAGATATTTTGGACTCTGAAAGTGAAACGGAGACTTTAAGGGGTACGATAAACATTTGATATAGATTTTTTGGACTTTGGAAATGTAAAAGAAGGCTTGTAATAATTGATATGATTAAAGGTAAATAATGATTTCTACTGGAACATCATGTGGTTCAAACGCTGAAGTTTCATTGGTGATATTTTCTATGGTGTGAAATAATATTTACTATTTTTAACATACAGCCTTTGTATCATTTTATTTTCAGTACTTCAATCTCAAGGTCATGACTTTAAAATGATTGGAGGAAGATCTCAGGTACCCATGTGTCTGTGCATCACATCCTTTTAATAACTCATACAAGGAGACCCATAAACATAACTATTTACTTAGTGTTGTAATTTCAAACAGAACGAATAAACTTGTATCAATGACTTCAAAATCAAAATAAAATGCATGTAGCCATTCTCATAATAAACATGAAATATGATAAATATACTTTACAAAATATAATTGATATCTTTTCATAATAGATATCCTATTCTACACACTATGAACATATAAGCTGGTGTCAATATCCCTCTCTTTATTACTTACATTTAACAATATCAATAAACTGTTACAGGTATCAGTTTCAGTGATAATGAAAATGACATTTTTCTAAGATAATGACAATTTGACCAAGATAATTATTATACCATATCTAACATTTACTACGATATACCGTACTTTCTCATTTAAATACCCCCACTGCAAGTGTTGCAGAAGGAGAAAACGCCAAAAATATCTGTATCTGGTCTCGAACCCAGTGACCTAAAAATCAATAGGGGTCATCTACTAATGATGACTATCCTCCATGCCTAATATGAAGAGTATGGGTCAAAGAAATCTTAAGTTATTGGGCAGACAAGCTTTTTTCAGACAAGGCCCCACTGACCTTGACCTTTGACCCTGTGACCTCAAAATCAATAGGGATCATCTACTAATCATGACCAATCTAAATATCAAATATTAAGACTGTGTGTCAAAGGAATCTTTAGTTATTGGGCAGACAAGGAAAAACCGACAGACTGCCGGACAGCCGAACGGACAAGCTGATTCCAGTATAGCCCCCTTACAACTTCGTTGTGCTGGGGTATAATAAAATCTAGAACTAGCAGTTAATAATGAGGTATATAGGGAGACCAAAAACATACCTATTTTTTTGCATTTGTTTGAAAAAGCATGTCTGGAACTAACATGTATCTAGAGGAAAAGAAAGATTATTTACCATAACAAAAGTACCATGATGGTATTGCATGACTCACCAGAATAATTAAATTTAATTATTTTAATGTTTTTCTGTTTTTACCTCCTGTTATTTTTTACTGTAAACAAGAGCACTTTTATGTAAGTGGTGAGTACCGGAAATCTAACTAGAAATGTGTCCATAGGACACTGATGCCCCCACACGCCACTGTTCTGTCCATCTTATGACTCTAGGTCAAATATTTTTTGGACTACATGTGCCACAAGTTGAAAACTAAAAATCAACAAAGGGCCATAATTCTGTTAAATTTGGTCGCAGCAAAAAATCCTTCCTTTACTACGATCTACACATTAAGGTTGTTAATCCCTGGAAGTTTAAGCAAAATCTACCATCCGGTTTAAGAGGAGTTGCGTTCACAAAATTTCTACATTGTATAAAGTGAAAAAATCAACAAAGGGCCAGAATTCTGTTAAATTTGGTCGCAGCAAAAATTCCTTCCTTTACTGCCATCTACACCTTAAGGTTGTTCATCCCTGTAAGTTTAAGCAAAATCTGCCATCCGGTTTAAGAGGAGTTGCGTTCACAAAATTTCTACATAGTATAGAGTGAAAAAATCAACAAAGGGCCATAATTCTGTTAAATGTGGTCGCAGCAAAAATTCCTTCCTTTACTAGCATCTACACATTAAGGTTGTTCATCCCTGTAAGTTTAAGCAAAATCTGCCATCCGGTTTAAGAGGAGTTGCGTTCACAAAATTTCTACATAGTATAGAGTGAAAAAATCAACAAAGGGCCATAATTCTGTTAAATTTGGTCACAGCAAAAATTCCTTCCTTTACTGCCATCTACACATTAAGGTTGTTCATCCCTGGAAGTTTAAGCAAAATCTGCCATCCGGTTTAAGAGGAGTTGCATTCACAAAATTTCTACATAGTATATAGTGAAAAAAATCAACAAAGGGCCATAATTCTGTAAAATTTAGTCACAGCGAAAATTCTTTCCTTTACTACCATCTACACATTAAGGTTGTTCATCCCTGTAAGTTTAAGCAAAATCTGCCATCCGGTTTAAGAGGAGTTGAGTTCACAAAAATTTCTATATAGTATCTAGTGAAAAAATCAACAAAGGGCCATAATTCTGTTAAATTTGGTCGCAGCAAAAATTCCTTCCTTTACTACCATCTACACATTAAGGTTGTTCATCCCTGTAAGTTTAAGCAAAATCTGCCATCCGGTTTAAGAGGAGTTGCGTTCACAAGATTTCGGGACGTACGGACGGACTGACGGACGGACGGACAAGTGCAACGCTATATGCTCCCACATTGTGGGGGCATAAAAATACATGTTCTCAAATTAAAGGGTTAACTGGATTTTGGTAGTTTTGATGGGTGATAATTGATTATAACTTTCCACAATTTCCAAGGTAAATTGATTATTTTTTCAAATTTAAATGTTTGTTTTTGTTTTTTTTTATGACAATTTGAACACTGTTTTGGTCATATCTCACAGGAAATCCATCTCCCAGCTAGCCACTAATATTCAATACCTCCGCAAGTGACAGTCCTTAGATAAAACTTAGAAAATCTTAATTCTTTTATTGCACTTACATTAATATGAAGAAACAAGGGTGCCATAGTCACAAAATACGCCCGTTTACGAAAAAGCTTTAGATGGAGATGGGGGCATTATGGATAAGTGTTATCTAGCAAGCAAGTTTTTATTCTTGGCACTGTGTTGTTAAATGAACCTTAAAACAAATCAATAGGGAAGATATGCACAGAATGTGTGACCTTGACCTTGGTCGCAGGGACCTGAATTTTATGCACGGCACTCAGCCTCACAATGATGAACATTTGTGCCAAATTATATTGAAATCCCTCTATGCATGTAGAAGTTTTGCTCCAGACTTGTAAGTGTTTTTCTATGAGCTCTAACTGTGACCTTCACCTTTGACCTAGAGACTTGGTTTATGTGCAGGGCACTACGTCTCATGGTGGTGAACAATTCTATAAAAGTAACATTAAAATTCCTCCATGCATGTAGAAAATATGCACCGGACAACATCTGGATATTTAATCATCTCCAGTGACCTTGACCTTGCAAATATTAACCTAAATTAAATGTGTAACACCTGTAGTCATGATAGTTACCATTTGTGCTACAATCCATCAATAAATGATGACTAAATGGTCCCTATAACCATCTTCAAATTTTTATCTGAACTTTGACCTCTATGTGTAACCTTGACTTTGGTCGCAGGGATCTGAATTTTGCATGCGACACTCAGCCTCACAATGGTGAACATTTGTGCCAAGTTATATTGAAAACCCCCTATGAATGTAGAAGTTTTGCTCCGGACAAGCGTTTTTCAATGAGCTCTAAGTGTGACCTTGACCTTTGACCTGGAGACCTGGATCATGCATGGAGCAATACATATCATGGTGGTGAACATTTCCATAAAGTATTATAAAAATTCTTCCATACATGTAGGAGATATGCTCCAGACAAAATCTGGATATTTCACCATCTTTAGTGACCTTGACCTTGCATATATTGACCTAAAGTACATGTGTCACAGCCGTAGTCATTATAATGACCATTTGTGTTACAATCCCTCAATAAATGATGATTAAATCGTCCCTATACACATCTTCACATTTTTATCTTTTTTTAAACGGGCGTATAAAAAGTACATGTAATTGTAATTTAATAACTAAAAAATTCTGATTTAAGATTTTATTCTAGGGAAATACATTTCATTACAATTCTTAATCTTTGAATGAGCTGAACTGATATTTACTTGAAAATTAAAATATAATTAAATTTCTATGAGAAAGTATTTACATTTGATAAGGTAATTACTGTATGATCTTTATGAACAAATACCAAGTCTACAGAACACCATAGTTATCACAGTTAAGAATCTTGACCAATGAATGAAACATGTGTAAATAAATGATACATTCATTAGAACATACTCAAGTCCAAGAAAGAGGATTATTTCATGCCCTTTGATTAAATTCTATTTTTAGAATTGAAAGTGAAAGGGGAGTAATTGTGTAAGTCATTTATGAACAAAGTAATAACTTTGTTGTCTCCCTTTGATTAAATTCTATTTACAAAATCTGGATATTTCATCATCTTTAGTGACCTTGACCTTGTATATATTGACCTAAATTATATGTATATCACAGCCATAGTCTTGATAATGACCATTTGTGTTACAATCCCTCAATAAATGATGACTAAATGGTCCATATACACATCTTCATATTTTTATCTGAACTTTGACCTCTATGTGTGACCTTGACCTTGGCCGCAAGGACCTGAATCTTGCACGCGACACTCCGCCTCACAATGGTGAACATTTGTGCCAAGTAATATTGAAATCCCTCTATACATGTGGAAGTTTTGCTCCGGACAAGCATTTTTCAATGAGCTCTAAGTGTGACCTTGACCTTTGACCTAGAGACCTGGTTCATGTGCGCGACACTGCTCCTCATAGTGGTGAACATTTATATGAAGTTTCATTAAAATCCCTCCATACATGTAGGAGATATGCTCCGGACAAAATTGGACGCCGCCCGCCCGCCAGGGGCGTTCCCATAATACGTCCCGTTTTTCAAACGGGCGTATAAAAAATTGACAAGATGCAGTCTCTACCCTTCTGGAGCCGAATGTGTAATATTAGCCTTTGCCACAACTATGGAGCCAGGCCAGTCTGCATATTCATATTGCCTGAACAAGCTCTATACTAACTGTTGGTAGCTTTTTTACTATTTTGAGACTGATAAAACCTTTGGACTGTTCCAAATTCAAAGCAGGGCAAATCCATTACACAAATTTAGTGGGTTAAGGGTTATTTTTTTGTCTTAGTTATTTTTACTTTTTGGTTGGGTTTAACATCGCACCAACACAGTAGAGGTTATATGGTAACCTTTCAGCTTTACGAGTAGAAGAAGACCTCAGTTGCCCCTCTGTGCATTATTTCAGGCACAAACAGGCACTTTAGTACATACATGTGAACTCTCAGATTCCAACTTTCTGCAGACATATTTATAGATTTCTCTTAAGATAAGGGGTATTTTCAAAAATTAAAGATATCTCCCTCTTTTTGGTGTCAAAACTTTTTTCTTTTATTATTGCAAATTCTAAAATCTCCCTCTTTTTGAAGGAAAGTCTCCCACTTGATCATCGAAAAAGGTTATGAATTTAGAACTAAGGATGAAGAACAAATATTTCTAGGGTCACAAGAAAAAATTTCATAAAAACATACCTCACTTCCCAGTTGTTTTTTGGACCTCCCTGAGCTTTCTCGGCGAACAACCTGAAACAAATACATCAGTCTTATTGCATGTATGCCATAAATATTGTCCAATTCATCAAAATCATTATAAAGCAAATATCTATGTCTGTTACTGTTCCGTAAATGCTACCCTGCTGTATTATAAGCTCTCAACCGGCTGGAACCAGAAGTGATTAGCCATTACCATTTTTGAGAATAAATCACGGTTTGATTTTTTACTTGCCGATATGATATTTATAAAGTAAATTCTTGATAAAAATCACTTATGTGTACAGGCTGTGGGACAACCTAGGCAATATGGACAAATGATTTTACCACCCCTGGACAATAGTTAACAAGTAGAATTTGTTAATATTCATCCATTATCATCTTATTGACTTAATGATTGCTAACACAAATGTGGCCTCTCCAAAGGTTTGCACTCGCTCTATCTGAAGGCTGTAAATAAGACACAACCATTCTTTCTATAGTAGTGAGGGGTAGAGGCAAAGATATAAAAAAGAACTTACTGCATTCCTCTTTGATCTTCCTGAACTCTCTCGTCTAACAAGCTGAAAAATATTATATGGTAAAGTTAACCAAACAACCAAATAAAAAGGCCATCTGATAATCTTCACAGAAAATACATGAAATCATTCAAGCATGTCTTGCCATAACGTCTACAACTACATGTACGTCTCACCACTTGGGATCACTGTACATTTCTTGCAACCCTACATGTATTACATTTTAACTTTTCTTGCTGGCACAGAAAGGCTGTGTCACCTAGTTTTTGACCCCTGATGACCCATATTCAAACCTAAGCTAGAAATCATGGTATCAATCCATCTGACATACAAACTTGTCAACAAAGGTCACCAAGGGGAAAGTATAAGTTTCACTGTTTACTAATACTTTTTAATCATTTGTACAAAAGACGAAAATACAACACAAAAAGTCTTATTATTAAATATCATCAGGCAATTAAAAAAAAGTGAAAACATTATCATTGTAAAAGTCTTACCAAATTGTCTACAGGTTCATCATCATGGGATATAATAGTTTCCATTCCAATTTTTATTGTTTTTACAAGAATCTATCTTTACCGATTGCTTTGTTTATAATGGAATCAGAGTCTAGCTTTTACCAAAGAAGGGATGGCTATACTCACAAACCAGTCTAAACTAGACTTTACTTCAAGCCTCAATATGAGCATGTTATGATGTTCTAGAAATAGAGCAAGAAAGCTGTCATATATTCGGACTTCAATAATAACAAGAAATGCCATAATGCCACAAACCAGGTTTTCAATTATCACCACTGAAGGCAGTTTTGTTCTAGTTGGTATAAAAGTACATGTGAGAAAGCTATCCAGCTAGATTAGGGAAAGTCGGTGGTTCTACTCAGGTGCTTGTTTGTGCCTGAAATAACATGAAGAGGAACACCTGAGGTATTCCTTTGCCAGGAAAGCTATGAGGCCAAATTGATATCAAACCTGTATTTTATGATGTTACAATTTATATACCCATAATTATTTCTATCTTTTGCCTTGTTAGCAATTAATCATCTGAAAACCATGTATATGTAGCCTGACAGTCAAGAGTTTAATATCATCTTGACCAGCTCACTCCTGCGAAATTTGCAAGGAATAGTGAATATTTTCCCTCTGTTTTGTGAAAATAAGTGAAATTTTGGATTGTGAAGGGGCCATTTATATATAGGCCCCCATTATAGAAGGTAAAAACGCCCTGGTTACTATATCCACAGGTCATCATTGTATATCAGGATAACTCAATATCATTGATTCTCTAGAGTTGATGTGATTTGAAATTTTGAATATTAATTCCAACGGACTGTGTTACAAAGCAATAATGTAATTAACAGTAACTTTCAATGAGAATCCGTGCATTTTCCACTTTATATTCCTATTTCTGCTAATAAAAATTAATAACTCAGGACATAATCATTAGAAGTTTAAGAAATAAGTCTTCCAGATTTCAAAGAAATCCTTCACATAATGTAGAGAAAGCGGTCAAGTGCTATGGGAATTAAACCTAAATGTTAGATAGAAAGAGGCATAATTTTTGCTCAACTTCTATAGAATTATGTATTCTTGCCAAAAAGTGAAGGGACCAGTCACTATTATACATTGACGTTGTAAGTAGTCTAATTTCAAAGTAAAAACTCAATGGATTCAATATTTAAGTGAGTTGAGACGAAACCAAATGTTTTTAGGTTTTTATTTTTGCAAAAAGCCAGGCTGATCCATCTATACTAAATGTACATGAAATTGTCTGTTTATTCCACAAAACGGAAGCATTCTCACACATCATGGAAGCTGTGATGTCTAGTGTTAATTAACGTTTTGTAAGTGAGATTTATTGTTACATTTTTTTTCTTGGCCACCAAGTCCACATCAGTTGCCTAAAATTGATCTTCATACAAACTGAAATTCAATTTTGCATAAGAAATCCAATTCTTTCATATAATCTTAATGGACTTATTAATTGACTTCTTATTACAGTAGGGACAGAATCCAAGGTATTTGGGATAAATGATACATGTAATATCAATTCCGCAAAAGGGAAAAAATCAATACTGACAATTAGTGCCTTGGAGACATTTAACTCATGTTTATTTAACTATAAAGATAACCCTGTTTTTAACCTATGAAAAACAAAAGGTCTATTATTGATCTTTTTAGCTGACAATACCAGCCAGTATTTGATCCAAGATGATCATCCAGTACTTGCAGCGGAGATTCTGACTAGGTTTTGGTTTCTGAAACCAACTTAAGGATTTTTTATGTTTTTCAAAATACTGACACAACTTCTAGGATGTTGTTTATATTTTTACATTCGAAAAAATACATACCCTTGCAACTTTTCTGTTTCTTTCTATAAGATCCTGTTTCCATGGTGGCAATGGGCGTGATTTATATGACTTCTCCTCTTTGCCATACCTAAAATTCAGTGTATTTATTTTAAATAAAATTAAATAAATTAATTGTTTCTAAAATTAACATGACATACATGATACAACCTATATTCACAACTTGCAAATTTGATGACATCATAAACAAGACAAAGTGTCAATAATTATTAACAGTTTTTCTATCTTTTTTTCTAGGCTTTGTAAATTTCGATCAGTGACAGAATAGAATTAAGCTATGTCAAGTATGGACAATTGGCTAAGTCGTTTGCTAAAAGCAGCTTAAACATTCGCCAAATCCTGCAGACATATTTAGCAATAGTTTTCACTGTGCTCTAGCACTAAATAATTGTCTGCAATCAAAGGATTATTAATTTAGTGTTACCATTTACTGTGTATGTTGATAGTTAGCATTAGTGTTCTAAAACAGATAATAATTTGACAATAAGATCACACAAAAATGTAAAATTTCTGGCTGCAAAGTGGTTTAATTTTTATTTTTACCCACACATAAATTATCTTTGGGAAACCTCTAGGATTTCCTACCCTGATTTCCGGGACAATCCCGGATGTCCGGGACGTTATGGCATGTAGGATTTAAGGCACTAGTTTTATTTATACATATATATATATCATCATATTCAGTTTAGGTTTTCCTTTTATTTACTAGTTGATCAAATCTACATTTACTAAGGGGCTTAGACTAATCACAAAGAAGCTTAAATCTGCCTTTACCCTGACTGAATACGCCTGCTTGACCAAACTGTATAATGGCACATTATCATAACTATGTCTGCAAACAGCCTAAATGCATGCACTAATAACTTATCTTTTACTACTTATGTATTCTGTATGAAACTTTACAAGATTAATCAGAATCACAAGTACTTGCTCATACATGGGTTTTCTGGTTAAAGGATCTTTGACCGAGTTATATCTGTCCCTCAGTCACAAAACTTATCTGGACTTCTCCTGTAACTTAGTGTAACACTACTGGTGCAATGTCATCCAAACTTCCAGGAATAATCAGGATTAAATTCATTTGAGTTATGGCCCTTCAATTATTTTTTTAAGTTTTGTCTGGACTTCTTCTCTTGTAACATAAAAGCTTACAGAATGAATGACTGACATCGAGTGACTGACATCAATTTGATGATCAAAAGAAAAATACAGTTACCTATAGTTCCTATAACCACATACCCTTAAGTATCGTGATGCTTGCTGGTACAGACAGAGAGATCCCTATATGTTGCCTATAGCAGGCAGCACAAATCAGGCTGTGTTGGGTGGGGGTGGGGGCAGGAGAAGATTAATATATCAGAAGTTACAGGCTTATTATAGTTTATATCAATGAAGCCTGCTTTGCCCAGAAGCAAAAATATCTCAAAGCAACGTTACATTTATAGGAAGTGGCTATCCGTACGGGCCCGTACGGCTAGCCACTTCCATATTTATAGGACTAGGGCAGGAGCTTCAACTGAGCTCCAAACCTAGGACCCAATAATTTCTAGTGGGGGTGTTCTGGAGTTACATATGACAATCCTCAATTAACTTGTTGATAACACATAGTGCCATGCATCAGAAGACTAAGAAGTAGAAAATTAGAATCAAACTTTAAATATTCTAACCCCACAGAGTCTAAGCAGTCTATTGATTTGCTTTTAATAGGAGATGTTACAGGTCTTAAGCGTTTCCTCCAGTCATGTGGTCCTTGATAATTATGTAAAGCTTCCACTTCATTGTAGGATTTCCCATCTGCTAAATGAAGATTTGGAGGTCTACCCTCTCCATCAGCCATTTTGAAGTGACAACTGTCAAATTGTTGAAACTATCAGTTTCAGAAAATTCACGTCAAAATTTCTAGATGTCAACACATACAATTGATACTTTATATCTCGTTTAAACATTATTTTACAAAATATTGTTTTCATATCATGTCAAACTGGCAATATTTTTGCAAAATGTGTGTAGATGGAAATTCCCTTGTTCCCGCGAATGTTTACAAGCCTCGTTTTCGTACTTTCCAAATTAGGTCGGCCGGTGCGTGAAAATCTAAATTAACTATCAATTTTGAACGAAAATTATATTTTTAATTTGAGCCATCGTCTGCTCTAAAACAATATAGATTCTATATGGTTTAAAGTACGAAATGTCCATGCAAAATTATTAAGAAAATATATTTTTTTCACTTTATTCTGGGTAAAGGTTTTAACTTAATTCTGGGAAACTGTTGAAAATACAAATGAAAAAAGTAGGCGTTTTAAAAGTAAAAAAATGAAACTCCCTTATATTCTCCAAAATATTAATTTAACAACGGATATTAATCACTTGTAATATGAATCCGTTATTCAACGAACTTTCTAATACTATAAGAATTTTAACAAGATGTATCTTTAAAAAGATACTCGGCCAAAGTCAAACTTGTTAACTTGCATAGGATAAGCTATAACTAACTATGCTAACCGCAAACAGAACATTTTATTCGTCCTCCAGTTCATTTTTACCCGCAATGTCTTCCCCCATTAATTAATTGTCATCTTAGATTTAAACAATACTGGTTGGGGAGATAATTTCGGCTGGTTGATAAACTCGGCTTTTTATTATTAAATCGAGTTATCGGAATTTTTAATCAAATCAAGCTCACCATCTCATCCTATCGCTGGAATTCGACAATATCTGGAAATTTTGTCAAGTTTGGTAAGATATTTAAAAAATAACACAGACTTTTACCTGTTTGTTTACAAAACATGCCTATAAAAAGTACAGGAATCCCATTGTTGCGCATGTGCAGCAGATGCTCATTTCGAGGCCCGCACAGGGGTACTTTTACATATTGACCGACTACCGGTAAAGCAGACGACGTTTACGTATACATTTTGTAGATGAGATCAGACTCGCTTTTGTCTTGCTCACTCAGAAAAAGGCTGATTACACAATTGTATTCTTTAAGTGGAATAGATTGAAAGACTGATGTTAAATGCTCCTTTTATATGTTAATGTGTAGGTTGAATACCACTAAATTAATTTCTTCTTCACTCTGTTGAGATAAGCAAAAATAAATTTGAATCACTAATTCTTTAATAACATATTTCGTTATTAAATGATAATGCATGTGTTTTTACGTAAAAATGATTTATATGTTACATAGTATGTTAATTGCATATAAATATCGTGTTATCATAGATATTCATTATACCAACGTAATGCTCTCAACTTTGGTAACAAATATTTTTTATTTAGAAATAATAAAATGTCTAAACATGTTGTTTTACGTTTTAACTTACTCATTTAAGAAGAAAAACAAAGAGCCGGAATTATCTACTCGCACGCGTTTAAAATATCCTTTTTACGTACCTCTTCCAGGGCCTCTCAAAATAACCCATAATGTTTCTAAATATAACTTTAACGGTGATACCGGAAAATCGAAGAGCTTAAGTTTATTATAGTGCAAGATTCATCAGAATACGTAATCAAATAAATGAAATATGCCCCCAAAACACTGATTTTCGGCCGAGTTTATCTCCCAAACCAGTATTACTTACATTATTTGATTTTAATCAAAATGGAATTTGATTTGAATAGGAATTTATAATACAACAAAGATTTAATAGATATTGTACACTTATTCCACAGAGAATTTTGCAACTGTAAATAAGTCAAAAGTTCGTTTCAATCGTCTTATGTCCGGTTCGAGGAGATAATATAAAGACTGGAACAGCTTGGAAAAGAAACCCAATCGAACGCAAAAGTATCAAAAAGGCGATCTGTCATATTTAATTTCATATATTTATTGAAAAGCTGTTAGAAACATCTAGAAAATATCATTATTGTGTTTTTATATTTATTCTGACTTATATCTTTTTCCAACACTTCTTGCCATCGCGCAATCGAACAGACCTCTACCTATAACGTAAGGTCTTCTATAGTATCAATCGAACAGGCTATTAGTGTGTTAAAATGACCAATGAAAATTCTGCCTAGAAACTATATTCATTTCTTTACTGTTAATTTTAGAGGAAGTCAAGGTGAAATCAGACGGCCTGTGGCCGAAAAAATCGATCCGCAATAAAAAAAAAGTAATTAGAATTGAAAAATGCTGCTGCTCCTTGTGATGTCATCAGTCAACTTGTCTATATGCAAAATATATTTATTTATGTCATCTTTTTTGTCCTTATTACTCGAGACTATATTACCCAGTCTTTGTTTCATGAAAAAGATTTTGTTGGTATTAGTAATGTGGTTAAATGAACATACAACATATATTTATGTGGAATCTATACATTTGGTATTTGCTTGAAAAGATGACATGGGAAAAGTGTTGATGGTCCACCTAAAATGTACATGTATTAATAATAAAATGTCTCCATTAAAGCACGTGGCTTAAGTCCGTGATTTAAGTAATGCTTGTATCGCATAATTTATCTATCATATGTACCGTTTTGCTGTCAATGAAATCAACAACACTAATTACTAGTGTCAAATGCATCAATTGCCTAAATTGAGATGTGCGCGCGTGTTCTTCCTTGATTAAGAGTATGGGCTGTACTGTAGCCTGGTCATCGTAATTCATACTCGTTTTTATATGTAAAGTTTTCTCGTTTGTTTTGATGTAAGTAGTCTGTGCGCCAAGCGCCGCAGCCCTTTTAGGGTGTCTACCGGGCAAGTATTTGATATAATTTATTATCATTGTATCGTTAGTATCGTTTGAGCTCTCGGTCGTTGAATTAAGCGTAATATCACTAGTGGGGTATAATTATTTTCATCTTGACTGTTGTTAAATACTACCAGCCAAGTTCCCTTGGACCTCTCAACAAGAAGATTCTAGGCGTGTATTTAACTATTTTATTTTTGTAAATTTTAATGTTTTACATAGTAGATTAAATTTACAGTTTTATATACAATTAACATCATATCTACATATCGGAACACTGTCTGTCTTTACAAATACATTTTTTGTGACATACCTGTATGGAGCAATTCAGCCCCTACCCTCAGATCATAAATTAATATGTTCTGAGCAGCAATAGCTAAATCACTGTTGTTCCAACTTAGCGTGCCTGTCCAAATCTATGTCTATACTTGAGGGGCTGTTGTATACTAAAGCTTGCCCTGCTTAGTTTCACACTCATAGACAATTCCTCGGCATTTCAATCCCATTTTATAAAGTAGCGATCTTTAATGTAATACTTTAGGTAATTATATCCATAGTAAATTAAATTTTATTTGTAAATTGTATATCTTTTTATGAATTTGAATATCGCAGTGCGAATTTGGCCAGCTATTTCAAACGGCTGATCCAAGAGTATCTTTTTATTTGTTGATACTATTCTAAGTTTTAGTATGCATGATTCCAATTCTTTGCGTTGCACGGAATGACACGCGCAATTGAAGAACACGTGTTCAAACGGTTCTGGTTCATTACATGTGGAACAATTTTTATCGGCGGAAAATGAATGACCTTTAAGTTTTGACTATATATTTCATCTAATTTTCAATTATGGTAATATGAAACTAGTTTTCTGTGTGGTATCTTGTTTATTGCTATATTACTTATTTCACAGTGTTCGTTCCACAATCTATTTCTTTTTTCTACCACTTTATTATTAATCATACAGTTACTACATGTTTCTTGCATATCAGACTGGCGTTTCCGTTAGTTTTACCCATGCCGGAAATTTCATCCGGCATGGGGGGTTCCAGACGAGTCGCGTGCTGTACAATGGCACGATAAAGATGACGTCATTTTACCGTTATGAATGATTTTGTAATTCATACGCTGTTGAATGAAAGTAGTTACGGTTGTAATGATATAAATTTTCATTGAAAATAAAGATAAAGAATTTAAAATATAATGGAATATGGTAGAATATGCAAGAAAAAATATCTGACATATGTTTGCGGTTTGAATCGGAATATCCGTCCCTCGGTCACCCGCCCATGGGCGGTAACTCGGCAAGCCTCGTTACCGCCCAATGGGCGGGTCACCTCGGGACGGATATTTCGATCCGAACCGCAAAATATGACAGATATTATTAATATGCTTCTTTTATACTAAGTGCTTGCCATCACTGCTTGCACTTTTTGCGCATTTATCGGCTTGTTCATTCCCGACAAGATCCATATGCCTGGGTCCCCATACTAGCGTTAACATAATGTTTTCAATTAGTAATGCAGAACTATTTCTTAGTATATTATTTCACATAGTTTGTTGATTTTTAGAGAATCTGGCTTTGATTGATTTCAAAACACTGAAACTATCTGTAAATATTGATGTTTTATCTTTTTTCCCTACTTATTATTTCTATTGCTTGATTAATAGCTGTCATTTCACATGTTTAAATAGAAGCGTATTTGTGACTTTTTATTTTAGTTTCTTGAATCATTATCCCATTTTTTTTTGTCATATTCTATCCATCAGTATAAACGTGTTAATCGTCTGTATAATTTTTACTTATATGTAAGTTAGCTGTGACTAGACTTTCTGTATTTATATTACTTTTACTGATTTCACTTGTTAATGTTAAATCGATGATATAGAGATATTTTAATCACTAATTTCATAGCAAGGTTTGGCTATACACGTGTGTTATTTTTTGTGCACATGGCATTTTGCATTGTTTTTTATTTAGCCTTTTTTATATGAAATACTGACTTTTTCCTATTTTATCATTGATTGGCAGTTTTTCCCATTGATTGTGCGAGTCCAATATTATAGTGCGCGTTTTCTCTTTGTAAATCAAGTTTTAAAAGTGTGTTAGTCTCCACATGTAGTTTTTCAGTGTTTATAGAAGGAAATGCAGCTGTTACTTTTTTCCCTGCTTTATTTTGTACTAAGAGCTATTTTTTCCGCATCAGAAGCAGAATTATAGATTATACTACCATAGTTTATTTAATTTAGAGTGTTTCACAGCGCCGCTGAACATTATCCTTCAACATATATTGATTTTGATTGGACATCATTTTTTCGTGCGGCATGTGAATATGATTAACTTTTGTCATGCATGA